GGAAGCCTTTCTTTTCAAGAAGCTTGCCATTCCCTGGTCTCCACAGCATTCAGGTATTGAAGGATCTATTGCCAACTCAAAAAGAGAGTTTGAGACATCTCAGGCTTGGTATAAAAAAGCACACGCTAAGTTCTTTAGACTTCTTCAGTTAAGTGTATTTATGTAATAGCATTGGCTTTTAAAAAGATTTCCCAGTTATTCCTTTAAAAAAAGGAAAGCAGAAATACTGTAAAAAGTTGATTTTAATTAATTAATTAATGCTTTTGCCCTCTGTCTACTTAAGATCTCAGGGCAACAGTGAAGTAAATGGGATAAATCTTTAACACAAACATATCTAAAGTAGTAGCTCAGTATCATAAAGAAAAAGTCAACTTTTGTCTCATGGCTAAGAATGCATTTTTTCAAGCTGTATGAACACCCTTAGTAAAAAGCCAGAAACTCCTGTACAGTTATCAAAGGTGCAAGCAGTTGAAATTTAATGGGGGTGGGAAAAAACCCCAGAATTACACACAAATATCTGGTTAAATTTTTATCATGTGTCCGTTAAAGAATAGATTATTTTAGCACAATTGTAAACTCCTGTTACCACCATCAAGGCAGAAACTCATGAAGTTACATTGTTATATGTTTGGAAGAGATTGCACGTGTTAATATTTATTTTATTTTATTTATTGCTAGCCTGAAGAATTAACTTATGAGCATTCTGATAAGGCTGCTGCACTGGAACTACAGAGCAGGTAACGTGACCTCCAGAACAAATGCCATCAGTGGTGATCCCAGAGCATTCCTAACTATTCATGCCTACATCCTAAAAATCTGCTTTCAATCCCAGGAGAATGGCCTAAAAAAAAAATCAGAAGCTATTGTTTCAGGGCTTTTTTAAATTCTCTGTCTAGAGATTGCCAGGTTGAAAGAACTATCAATCATTGCTCTACCATTTCACAAACAGCAGAATGCTGTGGGGGAATGAGAGGAGAGGTTGTAAACTAAAAAGGGGTTGAAAGTCCATGGGCTTCCATGCAGGTTCTGACAGTGCAGACATTACTACACAGCTACGTGCTTTTCTGCACTTCTAGTGAGCAGTAAGTTTAACTGAGGTCATGTGTGGTTCTCAGAATCTGTAATGTCTCCCAAGTTCAGATGTCCAATACTAGAATTGTAATAATCAGTCTATCTCATTGCAGGATTGAAAAAATATTAAAAGATAAGATTATGGAATGGAGACCAACACGCCCAACACGGTGGAACAGATACTGCACCTCCACCCTCCGTAACTTTTTGCCACTGCTGGAACAAAATCATGGCAAAGATGTAGAAGATGACCATCAGGCAGAGCTGCAAAAACAGCTGGGATATTACAGGGTACACTTGTGAATATAAATGGCTTGTGCATAAAAGCAAGAAGTTAAATCCTTAGGGTTTAGTATCGTTACTGGACGGTATTGAAGAGTGTCCTAGGCTAGTTATTTCTTCTACTACCAAAATTCACAAGATATTTTATACCAAAGATAAACCATTGTAGTACTTATAGAGAAGGAGTGATGATCCAGTTTATTTCTTTTGTAATGTTGAAGATAAAAAGTTTCTGCTGAACATAAGGATATAAAGTTAATTGGGTGCATTGTTTTATTGCTGCACAAGTCACTACTGCCACTACATAAACATGAGTGCAGTCTCTCTTGGGGAGACTGGTGCAGCAGCTCCCAGGGTCAGTAAAGAACCTGCTGCTGGTGCTGAGTAGTGCTACACACAGTCTACCTACAGGTGCAGGTGCCCACACAACATGCTTCTCTTCAGTTTTCTAGTCTTTGCTTCTAAAGACAGAAGAAAATTGACTGATGTGTTCACTGCAGCCACTGCTGTGCCTGTGCATTCTTCCTCCAGGCTGTTGGAAGGGCCTTCTGCTTTCCACATGGAACACACCTGACTGTACTGGCAGCTCTGGCCAGCTCCAAAATGAGTTGAGGCTTCAGTTCCTGTTGAACAGGATTCATTTGTTCAAATCCCAAGCCAGAAGAACAGGCCGATTTAAAACCAGCCACAAGGCAAAAAAGCAATGAAGTTGTGCTATATGTGTTCATTAATGTAACTTTATTCTAGTGGATTCTAAAGAACTTCACTTGGAACATAAACCAAATTAAAGAGGAAAAATGTCATAAGCTTGCCTGGAGTATGGGAAAAAGGGAGGTGTTACCAAAATACAAACATTGGTTCTTCCATTGCATCGCCTCAGGCTGGCAGTAGAGATAATTTTACTCAGCATGTAAATTTTTTTAAACTATGTATTTATTCAGGTGCCTTCATTTTTTCTTATGTGTTTTCTTCTCTTTCGTCCTTCCAGGTCTCTGGATTTCCTATTCATATGCCATATTCCGAAGTGAGACCTTTAATAGAAGCTGTACACAGCACAAGAGTTCACACCATTGATGTTTCAAGTGTTGAATTTGCTCTGGCTGTGTATGTTCATGCTTATCCCCAAAATGTTCTCTCTGTATGGATTTATGTTGCTTCACTTGTGCGAAATAGGTAATATAGACCTGTCAGAGTACTGCAAGAAATTTGCTTATATAGTTGTAAATATATGATTTCACTACTGAGCTATTCCAAGTATTTTAAAAATCAAATGAGAACATGATTTTTAGTAGATTTTTTTCCCTAAAACCACTAATTACTTCTAAGGAAGAGACTGACAGTGTAAATTTCCAGTACTAATAGGTGATCTTTATATAGTCTTTTATAGCTCCCTGTGTGACCTCACACTCTTAAAGCATCACACATGCCCACACAGAAGTGACAGTGCAGAGTAAAATGATTCCTTGGTATTCTTGTAGCTAGTCAGTTTATCTACAGACATTCTTCCTCTTCAAAAGACACTTGTAAATAAAAAAAAAATTCTGTACCTCAATTCCTGAATTTTTAGCTATGAATAAATTTCATATACTTAACAGCCATGAGTGAAGAACATACTTCAATTTTTAAGAGGCTGCTTCATATCCTATTTTGTATTTTATATCTGTATAATGCCAGCACAATTTAAAGGTGTAAGACATTTTTTTAAGAAGTTAAAGATGAAGGATTTAATAAATATTTGTATCAAAACTTAAGCAGAAGCTCATTCCTTTAATATAAGAATTTGATTAAATTACTTACAAGTATGAAATCCTTGTCTGCAAGTGAAAGATTATCAAAAGAACAGCTAACTAAAAACCAAATTCACTTACTAGTATGTAAGTAGTTGTGCTATTACTACTGATATAAATACATACCCTTTTCCTGCTGCTATCTTGCTAATCAAACTCTTCTAGTGAAAATGACAGTGGGTTGAGTTTAGGAAGAGTGTTCACCAGGACCCCGAACTTGCCTTTGTTGAATTTCAGATGGTTCTTTTCTACCCACCTCTCCAACCTGCCCAGGTCCTTCTGAATATCTGCACAGCACTCAGGGAGATCAATCCAAAGCTCCTCCCAGCTTTGTGTTGTCAGTGAACTTGCTGAGGAGATATCTGGACCTTCATCCCAGTCACTGATGAAGAAGTTAAACAGTCCTAAAACCAGTCTTGAACCCTGGGGGACAGCCCTAATGACAGGCCTCCAACTAGACCCTGTGGCACTGTTTACAACCTTTGGAATCTGCTGTTCAGCCAAGTCCTAATTCACCTCACTGTCCACTCATGCAACCTACACTTCCTGAGTTTGCCTATGAGGACGTTTGGGGGAGAAAGTGTCAAAAACCTTACTGAGGTTGGGTTTGACAGTCCACTGCTCTTCCCTCATCCAACTAGTTAGTTGTTTCATCATAGAGGGAAACTGGGTTGGTCAAACAGTGAATCCATGCTGACTATTCCTGATCACCTTCCTGTCATCCATGCAAATAGAGATGGCCTCCAGAATGAGAGACTCCGTTGCCTTTCCAGGGATAGAGGTGATGCTGACTGGCCAGTAGTTCCTTGGGTCCTCCTTTGAAGACCAGGGTGACATTTGCTTTCTTGCAGTCCTCAGCCACCTCCCCAGATTCTCCATGACCTTTCCAGGATGATCAGGAGTGGCCTCACTACAGTGTCTGCCAGCTCTCTGAGCATGCACGGACCAGCTGAGAGTCAGGGGTTGCTGCCACAGGTTCCCTCCCTTCTACAGGCCCCACTAGAAAGCACACTGTCATCTATGACATCTCCCAGGTTTATTCCATGGTGTTTCTGCAGTTCATTCCATCCTCAGCTGTGTCTACACTCACTAGTGTTTTTCTTTCCTTACTCTTCAGTTTAGCAAGATGGTAGCAAAACTTACACTTTATCACAGCCTCCAGCTCTGCCTGTACACTGACTTCTCAGACACTGAGAATCTTGAAAGCTACTATGTCACCATGACTGCTGTTCTAAATAAATACTACTCAAAAGAATTTATCCAGCTAGAAAAACAGGTAAAAATTACTGGTTTGTATTGTCAGTCTTAAAATTAGGCAGGATAGGAGGAAAAAACAACCCACCCCTGCTTTCTCCAATAGCAGACACCTGCCATTCCTCTGCTGTAGAAAAAAACAGTCTGCAACTGTGTCAACCATGAGCAGGTGGCCATTGAAATTCACTACTTGCCATGGGCTACAGTACTCATCCCTCACACAGCTGGCTCTGCTCTCCCCCATACCACCACACACACGCTCATGCACTCCTCATCTCTTCCTAGCACACGTTTCACTCATCACAACAGATTTTCTGCTCCCTGCCAGTCTCTACTGGCCAGAGGAATCTTTTTAACTATGAAAGTAAGGGCAAAAATGTATTGCCGTCTTTCACAGAGTTCAGATTAATGAAAACTGACTTCTCTGAAGCTGTTGCAAAAATGCAACTTAGCAGAGTCATGGGAACCATAAAACCAAACCAAAACCCCCATGGATTCTGCACAGTTCACAGCTCTGCAACCATGACGACACCCACCCACCTGTCCAACCTCTGCAGCCTTCTGGCATGACACTTTTAAAGCACAGATATTCAACTGCTGCACACATTTTTTTATTGGTGGGAATGTTTTATTTGAGTATGTCTTTCAAGCCCAAATACAAAACCAAATGCAAAAGGAAGGTGGCAATTTCCCTAATTTTGCAATGTAAAGAACGACTTCAGGATGAGAGGAAAGGGGAAGAAACCAGGCTCCTAAAGATGTGTAATTATTACCCAAATGCAAACAATAAAATTCAAATTCTCTGCGGAGGTTTATACTGTACTTACGGACTCAAAATTATAAAAAGGAAGTCACCTAACACAAAATAATGCAGTAAAGTATACTTAAGTGCCAAAATTGGAATAAAGTGGCATTAAAAAGAAAAAACTGAAGAGTTTCCCATCTTCCCCAAATTATGTAAAACAAAACCCAACACCCTTCAAGCCAAATGAGGTTGTGAGATTGTTACAACACTGTACAGTACACTCATAATTAAGATTCTGAAGTTGTGGGCAGGGTCAGGCTAGTATAACAAGTCTCACTCCAAGGATTGTTAACACAAGATGCGAACTGTAAGTAAAGTGCATGAGAGGAAGCCTGCTCAGCTAAATGAAGTAGACCGAAAGATCAGAAGTCAGAGGTCATTCGCCAGAGCGGCAGCAGGCCCGAAAACCACACTGCAAATTCTGGCATCCACTGGCGGTTTCAGCATGAGGACCTGCACAAAAACAACAGAATCGTGAAAAGAATGAAAGGCCACTTATTTAGACTCGTAATTCTTATAAACTGGTGATTCAGAAAAGCCTCATTTTTTACAATGCACTGTACTGCATTCAGCACCATCAAGTCCGAAATGCTGCCAATACTATGACAGTGTAAAAATCTCACTTGGAACGGGTGTTTTTCAAGATTTTTGCTCCATAGCTTAGTCCCATGAAGATAGCACATCCAAAATTGCACATAAGTACCATGATCAACACTAAATGAGCAACTTTACGCAAACTGCCACAGCTTCAGAACTGAGTGGTTTTGACAATGCGTTTTTAATTCCCATTTTTCAAATTCAGATGATGACATCATGGCATTACCAAAGAAACCATAACCTCCAAAACAATGCCTATGGTGATGAAAACAGTTTTTTAGCCTGGAAGTATTTTTTTCTCCATGAACACTTCATGGTTGGCCAGACTCTCACATACTCCTGACTAGAAATTAAAAAACTATAGAGAATCACCTTAGCATCACTGCAGTCGTCAGAAGCCATAAGGCTAAAAATGAGCCATTCAGAAAGAACTAACAAGTTGCAAGCACAGACAGGACAATTGTAACTCTACCCACCTCCACTTACCTTCACTTACCCCTTTCATTTAAAACGTTACAGTAACCATGAGATAAGAAATTACTGCATTTATTCAAACAGGATTTTATTTCCTGCAGCCATATGCCTGCTTTGAGACCCATTTACACTCTACAATCAGTTCTGGCTGAACTCCAGCACCCAACAAAAAACTGGAACTGGGTTGCTGAGCCAACTCAAGCTGGTGAAGACCTCATCAGGACAACAAGTTTCCCCCATTTGTATGACAAACAAAACAACAAGAACTTTAGGTGTTTTTCATGTATTTAGAAATTCTAACAAAATCTTATAATGAATGAGGGCACCATGCCATATCTGGCTTTTTTTACTGCCTTCAACAGAAAAGTCATAATTCAATTAATTTCCAAGAATCTGGAGTCTTAAAACCAGCATCCTACTTCATGCCACACACCAGTAAGAAATACTCTAGACTGTAAATAAGTTAAGGTACATGAGACTGAATAAAACACCTGAAACTATAACAAAAGACTACAGTTACAGTACAGTAACCAATTTCATTGGTCAATAAACTCATTTTCCTTTTCAAATGTTTTTATTCACCTGCACTAAACTTTGATCCTCCACATCACTTACGAGCTAGAGTTTGAAAGCTTCTTCGCAAGTTCTTTAGCAAGGAGACTCGGTGCTTCTGAACAGCTGGTTTAGCAGAGCATGTTCTGTGCAGCAGCATTTCCCAAGTCGTAGCTGACCTTCCCCAGCACTGCCACAGCCACGCAGCACAGCAGTGATTCTGAAGCAACTGCCACGTTTCTAGCAAAATGTTTGTTGACAAAACATACAGAACCACAACATCCCAAGGAAGGGAATTCTTGGTATAATTCAATATTGTTTTCCATCCTTTTCTTGCTCCTTTTGTTACTTCTCATGCTCCTAACTGGAACATACAAACTTCTAGGTCTGACCAATGCTTCATCTAACACTACCTTTACCACTGGCAACATCAAGTTGTGTCTAGGGACATGACATAAGCCTATCATGCACACCTTTTGTGTTTTTCCAGCAACCCCAACTGTTACATCAAGGGACACTGAAGTCCATTTCTTCCAGTATTTTTTTTATGGCTCAGTTGTGCATGCAGGTTTTTAACCTCTTTTTAAACCTCTTTCCACAATTCCCCACTGGACCAAATTCCACAATTTCACTACACTGTGCATCTCCTTTAAATTGCTTACCAGCTTCACCCAGTGCCCCTGAGCTCTAACACTGCAAGATTTGGAGAATTACCACTGCACATTCACCTCATCTACTGCTTTCCCAGTTCTTGTAAACAGTCATGCCCCTCTTTTCAGCCATCTCACTGAAACATCCAGCCTTTTGAGTGTTCAGTTCCCTAACTTTTTAGAAGGCCTCTTCTGTATCTTCAGTAACTCCAGTGTACACTCTCCTCAGGATGGGGACACCAAACCCGCATGCAGTGCTCCACATGTGAGTGCCCCAAGGCTTCCAGGACCATGCACAGCACCCTCTATCTTGTTTTCACCACCCTGACGATGGTAATATTGGTGGCTTTTTTGGCTGCTGCTGCAAATAGGAAAGATCTCAGAATTAGCACCAACAGCTCTCTGAAATCATTATCTCCACACTGCAACTGCCAGCTCTGAATTCAGTTTCATGCAATCACAGTTTGATTATTCCCAGCCACCAGATATTCAACCACACATACAGCTATAGTGAAGCTTCTTCAATGTCCTTCTGGAAACCATCAGCATCAGTTCCATTACTTGAAGACCACAAAGCACCACTCAAAAACGTGGAAATTATTGTGTGCATTTCTTACACCATAACACAGGGGAAATGCTGAGCAAGACTGATCTCAGCACAGAACTCTTGGGAGGGGAACAGGCTTTCAGTTTTTAAATTTAAACCACTCTTATAGCAACTAAAGATCTGAAAAGCTTGGATACTTCTAAGTAAACTGGACCATCTGAAAAGCTTATATGTTAATTTCCCAATTTATTAGGCACTGACTTACAAATGACACTAAGCGTATCTCACAGTGAAATTTCACCCTTCTTCCCACACTACATTCCTTGCCCCATGTCTAATCCTCGTACCATCACTAACTTTCCTTTATAGCCTGTAATAAAGAATTCTGATAAAATGAAATGTTGGGGGTTCAGTCTTCTGAAATCAGCCCTCCCCATACTCTTTCTTAGCATATACAGGCAGCTCCCAGCATTTGGAGGGTATTTTATGCTCTTATTATAACAAGGTAGTAAGTATCATTAATGGTTGGTTAAACAGTAAGGCTATCTGGGTTTGAGTGATTTATGGTTTGATATGGATCTCCTTCATCACAAGTAATTTAACTCCTCTATAAAATCCCTAGTGCCCCTTAGTTTGTTCTTTTTTACATTTGATACAGACAGCAAAATTCAAATGCCTTTACTTTTGATAGCTGGGTTTGTTTCCCTGGCTTTATTTACTACCACTGACCTTTGGCTACATCTCTTTGGCTTCATAACCTCTGACATCACATACATATACTCTGACTTCATAAACTTCATTCTGTATATGAGGTCTCCAATTCCTCTCACCCCTGATCATCAATCCACTGATGCATTAGGTTAAGCAACATGGTAATATATTCCTTTCATACTGTCCAGTGTGATGGTCATTTCAACCTAACAGTGGAGATTAATCACTTCATAGGGTCAGAATAATTTGGGTTAGAAGGGATCTTTAAAAGCCATCTAGTTCCAACCCCCTTGTAATAATCAGGCACATCTTCAACTAGATATGGTTGCTCAGAAACCTCCTTCAGGCTGACCCCAAATGTGTCCAGGGATGAGTCTTACACCACCTTTCTGGGCAACTTGTTCCACTATCTCCCATATCTTCATTTGCCCATTACTGCACAGCCCAGTTAGCAATGCATGGTCTACCTAGGACACTCCTCCATACAGCAATTTCACTGCACAGTTTGAGGACCAGCTGATGATTTTGAATGAATTCTGACAGTTTTGATGGGCAGGTGTAGCAAACAACCACTAGCTGTTGGCAGCATCAGATTCTGGCTCATATAAAAAAACATCTTGACAGGGATGAGCCAGATACCATCACTACTGGACTTAACAAGGAGTCCAAAATGTAGTCTTTTGAAAACAACATGTGATGGAAGTGTGGGGAAGGAACAGCATGCAGTGGGATCATAAGGAGAAACATATTTCACAAGGGTCCCTCAGACTGTGAAGGTTTAGTAAGTGCTAGCAGTGAAGTGCTAAATTAAATGTGTTCTGGGCTCACCTGGGAAAGCAAAGTTAATCAGATTCTCATCTAACATGCCACAGTCTACGATACTGGTTTAGTTACTTCTAAACTGGATTACTGTAATGCTCTTTGCATGTACATCTGATTACTCAGATGCTTAGGGGACTCTGAATAGAGGTGAGGTCTGTTTACTTGTGGTGAACATATAAACATGTTTGATAATGTAGGAAAGAAGTAGAGCTATTTGATTACTCCATTTATTTGATTACTCCATTTTGTTACATTTACAAGGGTACAAAAATTAGTCAGAATTCCCTAGAACGAAGTTTAGCATTCCACCAAGAATACATGAAAAAACAGACTAATACCATAGTAATAGAACCACTCCCTGCAACTGGCTGTCACCACCATATAATACCTTTTCAGAGATTTGTGAGTACATTGGTAACCTGTAGAATTTAGACTGACTTAACTCTTAGAACACATAAGTCTGCACACAGTAGTCCATACACCTTAAAAGAACATGCAAAGTCTTGGTTTGACTGCTGAAAGACAGATTAACTATGACCAATGACATTTTAGATGCCAGAAGAGTGAATCATTAGAATCAAACTTATGCCCTATTTCTTTAATTACAGAACCTGAGGACTACATAATTAAAAGAATGTCTAGAAACTGAATCATAATTAAATGCTGCAAAGAGCTACTGCTGCAGAAATTAGGGAGCCTGTATTTTTAATGCCAAAGGTGAAAGCACTCCAGGCTTTGAAATGGAGAAATGAGTCATAATGGACACAGCTGGACAAAACAGACTTAGGAAAGTAAGAACTCAGGTGGCAAGATCTAACTCAAACAACCAACTCTTCTTGCTAAGTTCTGTGTGATCCACGACCAAGTTTAATGTAGATAAATGAAATCAGCCATTAAAAGGGATGTACATTGACAGATTTGTTTTCAGCTACAGCTGAGGGCTATCTAACTCCAAGTCTCCAGCACTGTGCAAAATATAAGAGATCCTAAACATTAGTATGTAAACTAAAAACTGAAGTGAAACTAACAGTAAACAAATGCAAAATAGATCTGGAAGTGTGTGTAAATTCATAGCTTCTGGTCATAAAAAGTGTACCAGGTTACTGGTGTGCAACAGCAGTCAGACTCAAACCCAATTACCTCACCATAGCTGCTCTTCCTTTCTAGTCTTGCTCTACTAAAAAGGTAGAAAAGCACCTGCTGAAAATACAAAAATTGCAACCAATATGCCTACCAAACATGTATATTAAGCTCTCCACAAAGGAATTCCAATGAAGCTGGGTTGTGTGTAAGGAGTACCATCAGGCTTAGTGTTCATAGAAAAAAATATCTTCCGAGAAAGAAAATCTTCATAGTGTTCATAGAAAAAAAAAAGACAATAAGCCGCAGGTAAAAGTAAAGCCTTCATTTATCAGCAGATGACAAAGTCATATCTTTATTATTCAGAGATGACTAAATTCCATGCTGTTGGCTCCATTTTTTTTCTGCAAGATCAACAGGTTTTCCAACCTCTGATCCCAGAATACATCTCCTTCCCTGAAAACAATCAATGATAAGCTGGTGGGCAAAGAAAATTACGAAATTATTCTGCACATGCTTACAGATCAGTAAACTTTGTACAGCAGTTAGTGATACAATCTGTAAATGTGCATATAAACAACTTCAGAAATGGATTGATTTAAATGAAACAGCTACTGCTTTCCCTAGTTACTTTAGAAATGCCAAATGATAAAGAAACAGCTGTTGTAGGAATCCTGCTGCCCACCAAATGGAATAAGGCATCAGTTTGACACTGAACAGCCCTATCACAATGAAGTTTGATTGAAAATACAAGGAACAAAACCCAGAAAAAACTGCAGGGGATTAATTTATAAAGGCTACTTTCCATAAAGTCATAAACTTCTGAGATGACATTATTTCTCCACAGATGTAAGAAATCAGACCATTACAGCCTCACTGTTCTGCACATTTCACTCTATGGGGTAACTGTTGATCCAAAGGCATGCATAATGCTTTAGGGAACCAAGCAGAGCTTATAGGTTCAGAGATTCCAGCAGGCAGTAAAAGGAAGGAAATAAACAGGAAGAGGATCAGACAACTTTACAGAATAATTCAAAAATATGCTGTTAAAATTTAAGTAATTTCTTGAGGATACTATGAAACAGCCAAGCTTTAAAGTGGTGGACTCATACACAGAATTGGGCATTGTAAACTAATACAAAGACATCATGCTGTATTTTATAGGGCCAAGATGAAAAAGAGAAATGTCTGGTAGTACTGACAGAAGTATAAACAGAGGAAAAGTAGCAACCAATCAGACGTAAAAGGGAAAGGCTTCTAATTGGTCTTTGAAGACATCTTTAAACTCAACATAATGCAGGAAAGAGTGAAGGATTTCTAAAAAAGAATTTCAAATTTTCAGATGGAAATAAAAGACAACTGAAAATATATTTTTAAACATGTAATCTAGATGGAATTCAAGGAAGTAACAAAAAGCAAGTGTGTCAGAAAATAAGCAGTGTCAAAAAAGTGCATAAAGTGCAAAAATTATGGAAACAAAATAAGACTTAATACTTTCACTTCTAATATTACAATCCAATCCAAGTGCATCATCTTGTATCCATTTCAATGACTTGAATACTCAAATATCAGTACAGATTTACCTGCAGTACCAAAGTTCTGGCATCTGGTACCCAGGCTGGGGCTGCATGTCAATACGGATACAAATTATTGAGCTGGACACCATGAACTATGGCAATACAATTTTGGTTTACGCACAAATAGCTTGTACAGGCCTGTGAACTTCTTTTTCCCTTGCCTCCTATTGCACTTACCTGTTTTAAATTCACACATGGAATACCACTCACACCATGGTTCCCACCTCTAATGCTAGGAATGCTTACTGGACTTACTAGACTGAATTCCAGTGTGGTAAACACCAAAAAGACTTGCACTGTGAACAGATTTTATGCATTTATACAGATCCTTCTCCAGCCTAGATCCATCCCTAAGTTACTGACTCAAGCAAAACCAGAAAAAAAACTGCATTACATTTTCCACAAGGACATGTGATGGTAGAATCAAAAATATCCTATACCAAAACTAGTGCAATCTGTGAGGTTTGCATGGCGAAACACACATCCTCGGTTTCCTAAAAGTCCCTGCTTTGGTACCAACCTAAGGAAGCCTCTGCCTGAGATTAGGAGATTATACAGAAAATGTACAACTATGGAGACTTACATTCTACCCCTGTTAGTTATGCTAAACCAAGTTAAGAGATACAGGCACTAAAAATGCTTTCCTATGTAATACAGAACTGTACTAGTGTTACAGAAAAAAAAAGTAAAAAATGAGGTTAAACTGATTTAACAGTTGTAATTTTGTAGTTTATCTGTGAAACTCAATGCTACACAGACATTAAAAAAAAGGAGAGGTTTTGGTGGTTCTTTTTGTGTTAGGAAGTGCCTACACTGAGCATCACTCCCCAGAAAAACGTCACATCTTCATAGAAAAACATTACCGTTAATGTTGTCACAGTAGTAAAAGTGTTCATCTTTTAGAGAGGGGCATGCAGAAACCAACTCCTGCAGGCCTGCACCAGTTACAGTGAGACACCCCGAGAGGTTCAGGTGTTCCAAATGCGGCAGTCCTCCTCCCAGAGTCAACGCCCTGCGGACACACAGAAGAGACGCGTTAAGAGCCCGCATGGCGGGGCACTGACAAGTGCCCCACTACATCACCCCATCACAGACCTTCTGCACCTCTGACAACAGACACACCTCTAATGAACCACAGAGTTTTAAACCTGGCACTTCTATACTCTCTGTTAAAGGGGGATCACCCCTGAAACCATTCAACAGACCTGAAAACTGAACAGATTCCTACATAAGGTAACAATTCCTGTAGACATTTTTTTTTATGGATGACACCAGAAATGACCAACTATTTCAAAGAACTACAAACACTATTCTTCTTCAAAACACCAGTGATTTTGTCAGCTCTTCCAAGGTGATATAGATTACTCATCTCACACTAAAAGATGACACTCCCAAGTTTGGTGCATTATGCCTCCCATTTAACCCTTTTTTCGTTCAACTTCTTTTGGAATCCAAAGTTGTGTTTTCCTAGGCCTGACAGCAGAGCTTCTCTCTGCTAACACACCATATTATTGTTCAAATGTAATTCTCTAGCTTTCCTCTGAGTGCAAGAGAATCTGGCTGCTGATGCAATAGGCACATGATGTACCACACCTGAGCAAGTACTCCATGTGACCCTGCTCTCTTGTCTGCAAGCTCACAGAACAGCCAGCCCAAGTTCAAGAAGAAACAAGCTCACTCGCTTGAAAAACAACCACTGGGCTTGAATCACCAAACTGCAGATTCAAGCCAGGACATAAAACTGAAGGTTCCTTCAGAGTATCACTATACAAGCTTCTCCTGTTAGCAGGCAGAAGCAGAACTGCAGGCCACAAAACCAGCTATCAGGTAACAACCTATATGAAATAAAGACTGGCACGTGTTTCTATTAGGGGGTAGTTTGTATCTTTCCCCAGGGACTCTGTGTTTGTATTAGAGGGTTTCACTCTTTCCCCAAGTATTCTTGTGACTACAAGAAGCACTTGTTGCATCACACTCTCCTAAATACTTTTACCCAAAAAGCACCAATGGGAAACCAGCAATGCAGCTAAACCTTTGCCGTGACTCAGTGACCAAATCTCCCTTTGCTCCCACATTACTGAGTCACAAAAAACCAGACCAGTAACATGCAAAATAAACACAGCACAACCAAGTCAGCACATAATAAAATTTGTCAGGACAAGTCCACTGCAACACTTGAAGAGAAACAAGCTCCAACACAAAGCCCAGATACCTGAGGCATACCCTGAAGAAAGGGTAATGCTGGTAAAAATGTGCCAGAAGAACCACAGGAGACATCTGAATAGCTGTTGCTCGTGAACACCAAATGGGGACAAAATCTCGGGAGAGACAAATCAATGCCAGCAGCACCTCATGCTATTCCTCAGTTTTTACTACAGCAAACAGCATGGGTATGCATGAAGTCTTCCCACTCCAAGAAGCTTTAATTAGCCCTAAGTGCTGCAGAACACCTGAGCAGGAAGCTGCAAGGACCTCTGCCTCACCCCATTTTCAGTATGAAGCAGAAACTACATTTTTCTGACAATACAAAGTATCAGTGGCAAATAGCAAAAAGAAAATTCTGTAACTCATGAATCCATCTCAATGTTCCAGTCAAACTTTTTTTTTCTTCCTTCTTTAACTGTTATATGAGGTCATATTGAACATATTATTCTGCACATACAGAATTATCATAAAATTATTTGGGCTGGAAAAGACTCTTGAGATAATCACATCTGTTAACCCAGCACTGCCAAATCCACCACTAACATAATCAAGTGTCAATCCTTTGAATACCTCCATGTATGCCACTTCCCATGGCAGCCTCTTCCAATGCTTGAAAACCCTCTCAGCAAAGAAACTTTTCCTAATGGCCAATCTAAACATCCTCTGGTGCAGTTTGAGGCTATTTTCTCTTGTTACTTTAGAGAAAAGACTGACATCTGGCTATAGCCCCCTTTCAGGTGGTTGTGAAGAGTGGGAAGATGACCCTCAAGCCTCCTCTTTTCCAGGCTGAGCCGCTCCAGACTCTCCTTACCAGGCCTGTGTTCCAGACCCTTCCCCAGCTCCACTCCTTCTCCTGGGTACCGTCTAGCCCCTCAATGCCTTTCTTGCAGTGAGGGGCAGAAATGGGAGCACAGGATTTGAGGTGTGGCCTCACCAGTGCCAAGTACAAAGAAATGGTAACTGCCCTGGTCCTGGGCACTCTTTTGAAGGAATAGGCCAGGTGTCACCTGGGCATAGTCTGGCTCATGTTCAGTCACTGTCACCGGCAAACCCAGGTCCTTTTCTATCAGGATGCTTTCCAGCCACTGTTCCCAGCCTGTGGCACTGCCTGGGGTTGTTGAGACCCAAGGGCAGGATCTGGCACTTCATCTCATTGAACAATCGGCCTCAGCCCATTGATTCAGCCTGCCCATTAATTATGTCATTATCCAGACAGGTTAATCACGATGTTACTCCAGTTTAACAAAGTTTCAAGCATACTGGCAGGCATAATGAGAAAATAGGTGAATTAACACGATTTCTTAATAATAAATCATTAAAGATCAAATCTAAAAGCATTAACATTGGATAGAACAACAAATTCACAAAAATACTTGACTTCATAGAACAGATATAAAAGATTTTACTGTTATCTCCAAAAGGAAAGCTGGAAGAAGTTTTCAAGTCAGTACTGTAACAACTTAAGAAGCAAAAACCACTTAAAACTTACCAGTTTCTTCAGTAAAAATGTTTCTACTGAAATGAGGCAGATACATCCCAGAATGGCACAACAAATAAAATCTGAAAAAATATCCTGCAGCAAAATAGTTGGAAAATGTCTCCTCACCTGAGAGCACGGTCTGTTATCTGGTAACAGCCTGACAGACTGAGAAACTGAAGAACTCGTGCTGTCTCTTCATCTGTTTTTTCACTCCCAGAGTATGCAGAGTCTTTTTTCTCTGACTGCTTAGTCCTTATTGGTTTCTTACACAGTGCAGAGGACTCTGGAAGTGCTTGAATAGTTCTTAGTGCTGTCCCAGCACAACAAAATGAGTGACCGCAGTAAATCAAGTCAGTAGAAGCACAGTGCTGTTGCCACCCTCTAGTCCTTAACCCATAAATGTCTCTACTGTAGCACAATGCAGAACAATTAATATGGGATGTTGGTTCCATAAGACAAAATCCTTCAACATTTCTGTGTCTCCACTCTGCAGCATCTTCAATGTCAGCTAAATCATCTGCATCTAGCATCCACACATAAGCAGAACTGAAGTTTTCTGAGCCGTCGGGTTTAGTCCAGTGCTGCTCACCATTTCCTTCCTGAATGAGATTTTCATTGCTGATTTCATGCAAACCATTATATTTCTGGTTGGACTGCAGAGTAATCTCTCTGTTTTTCCACAAAGTCTTAGGGTTCCTGTTCCTGCAGCTTTTCAGAATACCTCTGGTATGATGAGTTGATACGATACCCAGTGCTCTGGAAATCCTCTCTATAGCCACATCTGTAATTTTTTCACATCCAGACAGATCAAGGTGGCGTAGATTTTGACAATACCCAACTGAACACCAACTGAAATCAGGGGGGAAAAAAAGTGGTTTGGTTTGTTGGTGGTTGAGTTTTTTTAGTTTTCACTCAGAAATAGCTGTTAAGGCTAAATATACGAAAGAACATTTCACAAGTAAAATACTTGCATTAATTCACATAATATTCAAAGAAGCTACCCCTGACAGATTAGATTTGATACTCCAAGTGCTCTATTTACACCTAGAAAAATTATGCCTAGAGAAACATGAAATCATTCATGAATCAGTAACAACTTATATTTCTCCATATACTGAGACTTAAAAGAACTCCAAATTTGCTATATACTGGAGAAATGTTTGAGAAATAGATCAGACTGCAAGCACGGAATACCAATTGACAATTAAAATACAAAATAACAATTTCAAAAAACAAGTGCATTATATTCAGCAGAAGTTACCAAGAGAGATCTGAGTTACTAAACATCAAAGCTACTTCTAAAAAGGCTGGAAGTACTGAACTAGCAAATTTCACCCATACCCACCCCACACTCTCAAAATATATCTGAGATTCCATATTCATTCCAAAGTATTGTAGCAGTTGTGATTTCTAGTATTTTGAGTTTCTCAAGCTTGGCAGTTTACACATACTGAAATGTCAGTGTACTTAGATCAAATGTCCTAATGTCCTTTCCCATTTCTTCCAGGAATACTAGATGGATTCGTGAAACAGATCCTGTGTTTCTAATTATTCCATCATCAATTAGAAATCAGACCTTTTCATTTCAACAATAGCTTACTCCCCTAGTCTTACCTTTTTCAAGTGGAACAGAAATTTTATCTACAGCAACATTTTTGCATTATTAGCTATGAAAGTATATATGCAATTTTACTGACTTTTACCTATAATTACTAATGTTAATATCATTTACTTTCTGTAAGTGATTATTTATATTTAGAGCAAGCCAAGCTCATTTTCTGAGCTACAAATTGAAGCCCTGTAAATACAGATATATGAGTAGTGGCAAATAAGGTAAATTTTACTAGATATTGACAAAAGCTCACAAAGATTGACTTTTGAGCCCTGGAAATTCTATAAAGCTTTTATTTCAAATGAAACTTCTTATACAAGCTGCAGGGTGCTGCTACCAGCATCCATGCTAGTAAGATTTTCTGTGGTGTTCATGCTACCTGAGAGCATTACATGATGTAAATGCAGAACACTGAAATACCTGCTGAGTTTCAATACCACAGTAAGACCCACTGGTGCAGTTTCTGCATCCACACACCATCCCACTGACATCCAACACATTTCTGCAGACCTCAGTAAAACTCAGGAATCCACAGACAATACACCTAAGCCTTAGAGCTTTGTCTACCACTTGATTAGAGTGTCTGAAATAGCAGTATTCCACACCCCACCAGCTGTAGAATCAAGAGAACTTCCTTAACTGACCAACTCCATAAAAATCTAACATGTTAAAAAAACAAGTTGTTAATACTAGGTCAAAAACACAACTATTGTTACTGATAGCTACACACTGATAGGCAAAAAGTATCCAATAGCAAAGACAGAGAATTTTAAATAGCCACTAAAAGTTATGTTTCACTTGGTATTTCAATGATTTGTTACTCTGGTTTAGTTCTTAGTCACAAGTCACACGGGAGCTATGAATTTGACCTCTCTTTCTTGGCAATGGACGAATAAATGTTTGAATTAATGTTTGAATCCCCTCTAAATGTTTGAGCTCCCCCCCGCCTCCCAAAAAAAAGCTGGATTACAATTTATTTTTTTTTTTAAAAAGAAACAACAATTATCCAACCTTTCAAATACAGAGTCTGAAATATCAGTTTGAGTGAGATCCAAATATTCCAAGTTGGGGCAAAGCTCTAAGATCTGCCTAACCTGAAAAAAAATAAAAAGAAAATAATCAGTAAAGATACAAGCCACTAAGGCTGCACACAGTGTCTAGAGACAACTTACAGATTGGCATTCTTTTGGACCGTAACCCACTTACACTACCCAAGCATATCAGTTATTAAAGACTGCAGAGCCACAGTTATTAAATGCAAGTTCCAAATTACACACCATTTTGCTGGACACTGCAGAACTGTAGGCCAATACCAGTGTCTTCACTGAGGAGCCTACAAGTGGGAGGACATGATGAATTAGGCCATGAAGTAAACGTTTTTCCATTTGTGCTATATTAATGGCAAGTGAATCTTCAGCTGCTTCTTCTGCAAAATAAACCCAGAGAGAAAGACTTAAATCATTAAAGGACTTGGAGAAATATTTACTACAGATTATGTACTGCTCAAGGCAACCCAGGCCAGTTGTTAACACCAATTTCCTTTAGATGTCAAAATACCATCTCACAGGGCGTTTCATATATATGTATATATAGCTGTGATTTAACAGCTTAAGATAAATTTTAAATCAAGCCTAGAGTGCATCAGGATGCAAGATGATTCATCCAAACTTTCTGAAGAGATGAAGCCTAGCTTTTACCTCCAGACACATCCCCATAACTCTTCTATCTGCTCTCATGTTTACTCTTTCCTAGACAAATTAATTCCAGTCATTACAATCAGACACCTGATTCTCTCTTACCAACCTCCATCTCCCTTTTTTTCCACTGAGCTTGTTTCTTACAGCTATGTCATCTTCAGGAAAAAAAAAAACAAACACCAAAATCAATTTTACCTACCAGATTCATCTATGTCAGCATCTTCATCCCATTCCTGGAAAGCACGACTTTCATCTTTTCTGTTTTTCACCCATTCCTCATCAGGTTCAGTCTCAGTATCTGCCGCAGGACCACTATACCAATCACCTACTCACCACCACCCCCCAAAAAGAAGAAGGAAAAAAAGTTAATAGAAATTTCTCACTGCAGCAGGAATCAGCACTGATAGCTTTTCTGTGTATTGTAACCTGATTTAAGAGAAACAATTGAATTTCAAATTCATCTCAACTAAGACTGGGCTAAACCTTAAAATAATTCTTTGATCTTTATCCTTAAATGTCACAAGATTCTTGGAACAGTTTCAGTGCCATCCCAGAACTATTATGACTGTCTGAGACAGACCTCCTGTCCTTATTTGCTTAGTAGGGACCAATATGATCACAGAAATAACAGAAACAACCACAGAATATTTGGACTGTCTAGGTGCTCAAGTTCCTTCTGGTAAATAAATTATTCATCAGCTTTTAGTGTAACACTTGGTTGAAGATATCAGTCTTTTCCTCTGGACTATCACAAATACACAGTTCACCAGCCTAGTTTTAGTCCCTGCACATGACAATTCCAAGATCTCAAATTCCAAAAGTATCATTTTGAAAACAGCTACACTATATTTGTAACATACATATGTCTCAAACGAATACACAATCATTTTTTCAAACATCTGGATGAATGTGAAGATCAGCAACAGCTCTGCTGTTTTAGCTGGTGGAGCACTCGGGGTTACTGCATAGGCATTAATTTACTTCTAGTTTGGATATATGGCAGTGCTGGGCACAGGATAAGCACCTCTGCTGCCTCCCTCGATGTAGACATGCTGAAAAACAAATCACCTTATTTAACTGTCTCACGCTGGGGGGAACCCTACTCTTCCTAAAGCAAGAGCAACTCCTATTGAGTATATCTAGGAGAACAAGTTTTCTTCTATGAATAACACAATGACAATTAAATACCAATTGACTGTCAACCATGAAGTTTTGGTAAGATTTCTCATCATCCTTAACCCATTCTCATATTACATAAGAAACCTCAGAAGCCTTCTGTGTACTAGGAGGGGAAAAACGGTTAAAAATTTAACTAAGCCTACATAAAACTACAATTGTTTTTCCCTCCCTGCGGCAGTAAATCCCATCCCAGTTTAGAGCATTTCTGCACAAACAACTGTAGTAGTACAAACAGTACATCATGAGACCAGCTTCCTGTTGTGCTAAACCAGGTTTAGAAGTGCTCATTTTAAGCAGTTGCCAATTATCTCGTTTGTGTGTGTATGCAGCACTGAATTATCAAGACAACTATGTTTCAAATGCAAATTTAAGAATTTGAACTTTGGAGCCTCTTTACTCAGTCTTTGGAAGCTCAGGAACCAAACTATCATTTTCAGGAAGATTTACCCAAACAAAACAAAACAAAACAACAACAAAAAAAATCGGACCAAAAAGTTACTTAATTCCTCTCTGCCCTGTACATGTTTTAGAAACCATAAAAAAGTTTTTAGTTTTTATCTATCTCTAAAGCTAAGTTATATAAACACAGCTCGCTCTCTTAAAAAATCTTAAAGGCATACAAAAGACTTATTAAACATAGACTTTCTCCTTTTACTGAACTACACTGTTGTGGCAGCACTGTGAAGCCTGCAGCTCCATACTCCAATGACTTTTTAAAATTCACATAAATATGGACATAAAGCTACCAATACACTCTGATGACTTGTAACTGGACTCATTGGAATACAGGATATTTTGTCTATTTCAATAAGTACTTTTGCAAAGGTCACACTTCTCAATAGGAAATTCTAATTAACAGAAGAGTTTGAGGGAAAAAAAGTTTAAAAATACTTACTGCAGTAGAAGTTACTTAAGTAATATACCTAAAGAATCAATACTAAAACTAAACATTCATTCAGTTTTTTTTGAAGCTTGACTAGATTGTGAGGAAACATTAGAACTCCACTTATTTTGAACTTCCTCTCTGCAGTTATGCCTTTCATTTCTACCTAATAAGCTAAGAAAATCATTTTTCTGATATAAGTAACAGCAGCATTTATAATTCAAAACTCCTTAGATTATGAAATAATTCAGACGTTGTATTAGTGAACATATTATTAGCATTCAGAAAAACAAAAAAAGGGGGTTTTTTTTACCTCAGTAAAACTAGATAAACTGGATGCAAAATGTACTCCCAAGTTTCAACCAAAACAACTTCTAGTTTCTTAATTCTACAAGATGGAAGTGTGTACTGGGGACTTTTAACATTCAATCAAGTTTCAGGACACTATCCTTGTCAGAAAGGTACACCTCACATGCTCAGCTGTCAGGCTCAGCCTATACTAAAACACTCTTCTTTACAAGCTCAAAAATTCTGGTAATTGACATGCTTTCAAAGGAGCTAAATTTAACTTACCTCTTGCCCAGCGAACAGGGTAAAGATGTTTCCACAGAGATCCAGTTTTAGCCAATTGTGACCATTCAGTGCTTACTTGACTACACTGACATAACTCTTGGGGGTTAAGGTAACTGAAAATGGTCACCATTACTTCAGGAGGGAGATTAGTAATATTTGTGGTGTGCCCTGTTACTTCGGTTTCTGAAATACAGAAAGTGTGTGTTAAGTGAAGCACAGCCTCACAGCTTTAGTAACAGTAGTGGAACTCGCATTTTGACTAGAACAATGAAAAAAATGTGTCTGAAAAAATTTTAACTGATAAAGATGGGTATTGGTTTGGCTTTAAAAAGCTTCCACTGTAACGACATCTTGAACAACAACAACAAACCAGCTCAGTTTTCTGTTTGCCATTTTCTCATCTGACTTACTCATTCAAAAAAAAAAGTAAATTAATGCTACTCAACCACAGAAAGATGAAAGCCGTACCTGCTGTAAATGAAATGCTTTAAGAAAAATGCCTTCTGTTGCAGATGGTATCTGTACCTGGTCTGCCACATTCCCAGGAAACTAGCACGCAGAACCTACCAGCTGGGACCACTCTCGCTGGAAGCGCTCAGCCTCTTGACTGGGACACAGAAAAGTTCATGCTCAACTCTTTGCACCTGTTTTGAGTTTTATTTCTAGCTTTAGCTGCTAGCATTGACAATTTTAACATCTGAATGGTGATGAGCCATTCAGGCTGTAAAGTAATACTAAGTACTTGATGAGAGACGAAAATTTGACCACTGTAAGTAATACTCCAATGGACAGCAGCAGGAACTATTTCCAACAGCTCTTCCTGATCACCATACTGCAAAGAGAGCTGTGAACTATATAAAATAACAAATTCTGACCTTTGGTTAGTGAGGCCTTTGGCTGTCTTAAGATATTTTTAATGTTTTGTTTCAGAACAATTTTCTTAAAAAAAATATTTCTAAGTTTTCTGAGTTTTCACGAGTCCTTTAAAATAGCAGGCTTTACTAATAGTTGGGTTTTACTTCTGAAGTGCCTAGAACTTTTACAGAGAGAGAAGCATCAGATTTTTTTTTTGCAAAGAAGCTTCAAAAGTGAGCATAATGTAAACTTTCCCACCTGAAAAACTATTGCTACTTCAAAACAATATAATTAAATACAGTTTCACTTAATGAATCAATGTATTCATTTGTACAACTAGCATGTTGCTGCATGAATTACAGAGAATTTAGTAGGAAAAATGCAGTTAAGCCTGCACAGGACTGCAAGGTCTATGCTTTTTCTATCAAGGTCTACGTTACTTTTTTCTCTTTCTAAAAAATGAATGCAAGACACATATTCTCCTTTCCCAAAGTCTAAAACACAACAATTGCAGAATTTACTACTGTCCTAAAACTGCTATTCCAGCTAGATTTAACAGCAAGTAATGCCACAAAGCTACATTTGTCACATTCATCTGTAAAGACTCAAAAGTATTTCACAGAATGGACCATGATCTTTTCTGAAGGCTTCACCTGGAGGGCAGAAAACGACCAGTTGAGTAGTTCAGAGAAGTCAAGTTTCATCAAAAAAATCTGATTACAGAGTAATTTGTCAAGTTTTTCTAATGAGAGCAGAACATCTTATCAACATCACGAACTCAGTCCATGATAACTCACTCTACGTATCAGACTCACACCAGCATTACAGTTTTGGTACATTAACTCTCCTTCCCTGGGGCATCAATTCTTTTTTGTTAGGAGTGAAAACTGTAAATATTGACAACTTAGGCTGATTCAGCAATCATAAAACAAGCCTGAAGTCTACTTTAGTAGTTATCCATTTAATCTAAGTTTCACCAGAAAAGGTAGTTAGAGATAAATGCAAAATAAATATCCACTTTGAGAACACAGATTTCATCTGACCTATTCACATGCTGTACAGATTCATTCCCTTGCTTTACTCCATGCTCACAGGTCCTTTCTCATTCCTGAGAGGCCCAGGAAAGTTAGCTAATGAAGCTAGGAAGGTGAATGTTTTTAATTTGAAATATTAATAAATAACTATTTTGTATTATTAAAATATCAACACAAAAAGCTTACAAAGCTGACCTAAAAACCAAGAATGAAATGCAGAGTCTGCAAATAGAACATATAATTTAAATGGAAGTGTGAAATTAGAAGTTAAATACTCTTTTCATCTGTTTATTCTATCAAATATTAACATGAGAGGGAAGGGAGCAGAACAATTTTGACAACAGGTAAACAGTGACATTACAACCTGCCAAGATGCCCATATCAAACAATAAAATTTCTGAAGTTTCAAAACTGGTTTGCAGGTATACTCATTTTATAAGAGCTACTCTGTCTGCCCATACATAACTTTAGGTATGTCACTGGTGTGGCTTTTTAGATAAAAACTGCAGCTTGAAAGTTACTTTAATTAGATACTTCACCTTGATCTGCCTTCTCATCCACAGAGTACTTAAAGACCTTCTGAAGCTCTTCTGCCTGATTCCACTTACTGAGACCTCTGAATTCTGCAGCCTCTTTCTGTGAGCAGTGCTGTGCAATTACTTTCTTCTTAATATCTTTCAGCTCTTCATAAGTAAAGTATTCCATCAACATTGGCTGAAAAACCTAACACAAAGGAAAGAGGGAAAAAAACCTGGTGCTGACAGAAATAGTTAATAATGCTACACAGACCTACCAACACAGAATTTCCTATTTCAAATGCTCTCAAAGTAAAACATGTCATACATTAAGGAAACCTAAGGACAGGACCATGGAAGTTTTAAATTCTAACCCCTGCTTTCTAACAGAACACTGCACAGTATCAGGCAAGATGTTTTAATCATTTTCCCCATCAGAATAGGGAAGTGACTAAAGTTGCTTAACCTATGTAACTTATTAAGGTACTCACATGGAAGGCAAAAGTAGCAAGGAAGAAAAACATGAGAAAAGACTTCCCATGGACAGACTTCAGAATATGTTTCCCAGTTTTTGGATACCCATAAATCATCAGACTGGCAGTACTAGTCTATGTTTCAAATATAGGTCAGAAGCTGTTTGGGAGTGTCAGTTTGAGTCATGAAGCACTGGTTTACAGGACCTCTCTTTTCTCATTTAAGTTTTGCTATACAGCCATTTTAACTACTTGCTGCAAACAAATCCCAACCCCAATGGACTTTTGCTATCAATTTTTTCAAGAATTATTATTTCATCATAAGCTTCTTATATATTCAGTTTCAGAATGGGTCACTTTCCAGTCAGAGAACTGAACAATGTCACCACAGTCTTGAATGCAAATTAGCATAGCAATAAAAACAGAGAACTGAAAAAACAATGAACATCTAAGCCATTTGTCTCTATTCAGTTATTCCAAACCCCAAGAAAGATCTCCATCACATTTGAAGAAAATCTTTACCTCCTCTTCCTCCTTCATATGAGGAAGGAAATCCCTGGTAAAGGCTTCCAATCTCTCCTTCAGCTGTTTCGCATAGTTTAGCTGTTCATATTCATTCTGAGAAGAAAGCAAAGACTTAATGGTTACCCAGTCTCATCCAGTCATCCAAGGATTGAACTGTTCAATAAAGTAGAGGTTCAAAGGAAAGCCCATTACGCCCTTCCCATGCATGCAGCAGGTTTGCTCTATTTCATGGCAAGAACGTGTTTACTTAATGACGCTGACACTCTGCACTGGCGTGTTAACAGGCAGAGCAAAGAATTCCCTTCCTGCCCAAGTCCAATTTATTTTCTTAGCATACATGAATTCGTTTGTCTAATCCCACTTTTACTTTGGAGCAAAGACTGAAATCTGCCAGTCTACAATCTCACACAATATTCAAAGAAGTAGAAGACTAATTTAAGTATTTGCATGGTTTGTATATAAAGTTTCTAGGATAGAACGCTTCTGCCTCATCGTTTAACTGCATACATTTTACCTTTGTTATTCTAAAATTTAAACTCACAAATTATTAACAGAATTTACAGTCAGAGATACTATACAGATTTTTACTTTGGAAATTCAAAGAACTCTAAAATAATGATGTAACTGACTTTTAAACGTTCAAGTTAGTCCAACCTCATATATCAATTTGTTATTCTCTGAGTCACTAATAAGAAGCTGATTCTGAAATCTGCCCAGTAATTGCAACATACTGAAGTTCCTCCCAACTGTTACAGTAAATGTTTTTCTTTTCAAGGTTCTACAATATCAAGAAATGCTGACTATTACAGGGACAAGCTTAAGCCATCAGTTTAAACTAATCACTCCATAAAAACAGTCAAACATTAACTAAAGTTAATGTATCTAAAGAGTACTAAAGAAATCTGGTTTTGCACACTTAAAAAATCAAGCAACAGAATAACACTAGCATCCTATCAGAGAAGGTGTAACACAAAGCCAAGTGCTAAATTTCCGTCTTTCCTTCATTTCCTGATTTGTTAATGGACAAAAGACAAAATTAAAGGTTTACGATGCATAGGGAAAAAATTATTTGTAGGTTTCCCAGGTCAAAACAAGGCTTAGATGGCCAAACAGAGTCAGTCAACTGCATATTTAGTATTTTTCTTACTGAAAATCTGGACCACACATATTAGAAATGTATTGTGGGATGTCAAATGACTACTGGAGACAATAGTTCTTAGGGGGCAGGAAGGGGGACTTGAGTTGGATACCCCAAGAGAACGACATGGAAGAATTCAAGAAGAATTCTACTGGAAAAGAACTTAGAGATAATCACTGTCAAAAAAGCCAGCTGGAGAAATAATATTTAGAGTTCTTTGACAACTGGATCATTAACAGGACTACATGAGTCACAGATTAAAACAATGCTGCTTTTTTTTATAAGTCTGGGAATCATCTCCATTTGTGGCAACAATACAATGCTGTGCATCACCAAAAAAAAAAAAAAGATCCTCAAGGTTTCCTAACAAATTAATAAAATCCCATTATTTCTATAGCCAGAAACTTCTGACCAGTTAGTAAAACAGTCATTATATTTGGAATTTCCATGCTATCTCTCCAAAACACCTCAAATTATACAGTGAAGACTGTCACAAAACACATCTCTGAAAAGAATTTTCATTTAGTAATTGTGGTGAATAGCACAAGAAGTTGTGTTTCAGCCTAGAAAGTATAAAAAAAAAACCATAAAAGTTTCTTCTTCCTCCATTTCTTCATACAGAATATGAAGAGGCAAGGCAAGCAAATATGTAATCACATCATGTTTTCCTCAGGTCACAAATCTCTCATAGTCTACTTACCTTTACATTCTTTAGCCCTTTCTCAAAAAGGCTAAGCATCTCTGAGAGCTTGTTGTCCGAGTGCACATTGTACACTGTCCGGCTACGCTGCTGAAGCAAACCAATGATGCACTCATTTTCAATCTGCTCGTGCATTTTAAATTCCTTGAATGTGGCATAAAGAGATTGCAGCAGAGCCCGAAAATCATTGTTGTTGGAGAAGTTGGTCTTGGAAAGCTAAGAGAAAGAAAAGTTCACAAAAAATCAATGAAAATCACGTCAAACACAAATTAAATCCTTAGACTAGGGGATTCATTGGGATTCACTGCTCCCCTTATTTATAAATGGTAAACACCTTCAGTTTTTAAAATAAAGTGAAGCCAGCAAAATCAAAGTTGTATTTAAGGAACATAAACCAAATCTTGTGAAACACTGAGGTAAACAAATGTAGAAAGATTTCCTGGCAGAAGTCAATGCAATCTCCCCAGCCCTACAGGTTACTGACAGGCTTTGGCCCTTTCCCAATCCACAATTTTGTCCATACCAAAAAGCAATTAACATAGGTCCCTGAGTCCATCCTGTGTATTATCCACAAGGAATATTGAGTCCTACCACTGAATACAAACTACATTAGTTGTTGGAGATTTCTAATGGAGCAAAACCCAAAAAATCAAGACAGACCAAAATTCTAGGTAATACAGTAGCGCCATTTTTACATGTATAGTCATCACTGGCATCAATATATTTTAAACCTGCATTTTCCTTCAGTGAACACAGAAAAACAGTGTCTTTTCCATTCTTATGCTTTATTCCATGTGCAGATTCAAGAATCCTAGTCTACAGCAGTATACAAGACCAAGCAGTCTAAAAGATCTCAATTCAGAAAACAAGCTGCCACAATACTGAGAAGTGGTTTAACTACCAAGACGCTGGAATCTATGGGGTTTACAAGAAATGGGAATCTGAGACATACGTATTCAAACATATTACTTACATCAAAAACAACTACAAATCGAGATATGCAAAACTTTTTTTCATCACAAGCCCCCAAATGTACTTACTCATTGTGACATTGCATGCCACTTCCTGGCAGCCATAAGCAAAACGCAACTGAAACGTGCTGGACACCTGCCAAATCCTTATGCAACTCCAAGTAAGCTGTGCATACTGTACATTACATGCTGTGCATATGAGCAAAATGATTCTCACTATGGAAAGACAAAGTTACTTAGCCCCAGAAGAGAGAGAAAACACAGCAAAGTTTAAGAGGATTTTTGGTTGGTTTTTTTGGTTGTTTTTTTTGTCCAATATGCTTTAGACCAATTAGTGACAGATGTCAGAAAAAAACTGATGTCTGTAACACACTGTTAGGATTTGAAGCATACGTTGTTACGTATCCCTAATGGGGAAAGATCTTGGCTTCAAAGGCCATATCAGTTCCACAGTATGCCCCAAGAATGCAGCACTAGGAACAGTGGTACTATACAAAACTGAGGGCTTGACTTTCCACACTGAAAAGCAGAAGCCTGAGCAAGCACAGGTGATGGGCACAGAAGCATCTCCTCAGGCAGCCTCCTCACCTCCCGGCACCTGTGAATCACATCTCAATAACTAACTGTGGTTTCTCAGGTGGCATTTCCTTTGATTAAGAATAGTGTTGTTATAGTTCATTCTACCCATAAGGATCCACAAAGTGACTGGAGGCAGTCCCCAAAGATCTTTTTCCCTCCAAGAATTCCATGTGCTCCCAAATACTTAGCATTTTGATTGACTTTAAAAATGTAAGCAAGACTGCTGAAGTGGGTAACAGGTAGGTGTGTAACACAAATCTACTGTATTCTGCTGCTTGCTTTAAAAACAAATCATGAAATTGGTTCTGATAAAAAACTAGAATATTCTCATTGTCTTGACTAAAAGCCTTTTCAAGATTCAAAATGTTCTGTTGAATCTACCTATTGTCATCCACAAATTTGGAATAAATAATCTCTTTGAGCATGCAATTTAAGAATGTCCATTAGAAATGGATTGTTATAGAAGCCACTGTAACATGAAGCACTTGTATATTCACCTCTGCTACTGAGGGTTCCTGCAGATATCCAACAGATTAGGACTTACGGAGAGGATATTGAAGTTTAGTAACTATACTTAAATCAGAAATCACTGTATTACAAAGGTCAGCCAAAGCTGAGAACAACTGGCTTTTCAGAGGACAGGTAGCTTAGCAACAAAGTCACTCAGTCAGACCTGTAATTTCATTACCAGGACTGAAGTCCCATGACGGGGGACCAAGACTATTAACAGACAGAAGCTACTCCATTCCAAGGTCCATTTTTCACCAGCTCTAACAAGGAAAACTACTGCTGGAGTTTAGTAGTGCAAAAAGAAAAGCCACATCCCCCCAAATTCAAAGAGAGAATGGCAAGGGAGAGGAAATGGATTACGAAATTTTGTTGACTCATCAAAAATATTAAGCATGATGCATGTGAGAACCCTGAACAGGCTTAAAATACACTGCACTAAAATGCAGAACCAGTGTTCAAGAAACTTGGGAGCTTTCTGAGCTTCTGAAGACATTACATTTAAACAGCTGTTCAATACAGCACAACTGGATTTGTGTTTGGAATGCAAACTCTAATTGAGGAGCAGTACCACAAGAGCAACAGTTTCAGTGGCTCCTGAAATTTAACAATTATTCATAATCCAAACAGCGTGGGCAACTGTCCGAACAACACTCATTCCTTTGTATTGTAAAGTATGTTTGAAACACTTCAGAGACTTATGGCTGATGCAGGGATCCTCTAGAAGTAAATTCAATACTAACTGAATTTATTAAAGCTTTTTTAAAAGAAAATAAATGATGCACTTAAAGCATAGCCATACCTGAAAAATCTTTGTAGCTCAGACAAGTATATGCTAATTTTAGGTGAGTGTCCAACTTACTGGACTATAACAGAGCCATTAACACAGTTAAGATGAATGCACAGACTTATAGCAAACATACATCTTTCCTTACTGAAACATGATGTTTAACTTTTGTGCTTTAAGAACAAAATACCAATATTGGCAATATTAACAGCAATTGCTCTTCAGACAGTGCTTCATGTTCACAACACTCAACTGAAATAACTCTGCACTCAACTCTTGTATCTCCCTCCTGGCTTTAGTGCTTTCATTAAAAAAATGAAACTTCCTGTCTGATGAAGGCAAGACACATTTCTATCCACAGTGCTGTGAATACATAAGGAAGCTCCAAACTGCTAATTGAATCACCAAACAAAACACAGTATTTAACTTGGTTTCTGGAAGTGTTTTATGCATGTGCCAATATGGAAAAATGTGTTCTTAGAGAAAGGAAATTAATTTTCCAGTAATGTTAGTTTACAGTGAGTAAACTGAAACAGTTTTTTCCAACTAACTATGCCAAAAATAAATTTAAGGAGTGAAAAATGTTTGCTTCTTCCTTCCAAGCATACTATGAATCAAGGAGAAAGCAGCAAAGAGGAGTAAAGAAAAGGTACACTGCTCTTATCAAAATTTGCAGTAAGCAAAGTCCATGCTGCATGTTAACACTCCCAGTTACAAGTATTGCTATTCCCAACATCAAGATGGAAAACTACAAAAATATGAGGAAAGAAAATAGGAGTGGAAAAACTTATTTTTCCACTCTCCCTACAGATTTCACAAATTTAAAATGGAATCATAAATGGAATCATAAAATGCGTTAAACTTTAAAAAGTTTAATGTGGCTACAAATTCACAAGCCAAATTAATTTCAAATGAAGGTTTTCCCTCTCAGCACCTTAATTCTGAACAACTACTAACCTTAAAAATTCAGTATGGAATCTAAGAAAATTGAGTACATTCTTTTCTTCCTGGTTTTCTCAGTCGTTTTTCTTTTGCATGTGTCATCCCAAATTACATTTTTGGCAGGTCATTCCTCTATATTCTGTTTTCCACATATAACTATATTAAGACTTGTACAATCTGCTGATAGCCACAGAATATGAAATAAAAGACATAATATTCCTGATAATCAATGTTCTTGATAATCAATAGACTAGACTTCTATCACTAATTAACTCAGCAGATTTAAAACGAATTTAAAAAACAGTAAAATTTTTTTTATTATAGAGCTGGTAGACCATTCTGATTAAAAGAAAAAAGGTATCTAGATAAATATCGGGAAAGTTTTTCACCCCCAAGGCGGCTGGGAAGTGGAACAGGCTCCACAAGGAAGTGGTCACGACACCAAACCTGACAGAGCTCAAGAAGTTTTTGGACAACACTGTCAGGCACATGGTCTGACTCTTGGGGTTGGGATTCTTGCGCAAGGCCAGGAACTGGACTCAGCAATCCAGCTGATGCATCCCTTCCAACTCAGAATATCCTATGATCCTATTCTGTGAAAAAAAGAACTGATTTTTAGAATGGAATAACACTGGGGACAAAAAAGAACCAGGCACTACTAGTCAGCTGTATCTTTTCACTGTTATATTTTTAGGTATTAGCATATGCAGTAGCACTAAAATTCAAAGGACAAACCCGCACTCTGCAGAGGCATTCATCTCAGTTTCAGGCACAAGAAAATGGAGGAACAAAAACCGTAACAAGGTGAGCCTGTGCCAACAGCAAGAGCATGCTGTTTCATGTTATTCTTAATCTGCTGGAAATGAGGGTGTGGCTATGGAGAAGGAAACACACCGAAGGAGCAGCCCTGCCTCTAACTGTACTTTCCTGCAGCTTCCCTGGAATATGTGCTGGCAATCATGCAGCTGCAAGATGAATGTATCTAATCCAAGGAGGAGCTCTGCCTTTTACTGGGCTCATTTTTCACCTGGTTGGAGCACTAGTAGCACCCAGTTATACCCCCTTACTTAGGAATCCCCAAGAAGTTCAGTTGACATTGTCCCCAAGGAAGAACTCGGGTGCTGAGGTAGCTTAACCAAGAGAATGACTGTCCTCAGTGTCACCTCTCCTTGGCTTGCTCTTTATGTAAAGGTATACAAAGTGAACATTAAGAGAATTAGCTAAACTGCTTCACACTCCCACCTGTTTATGTGTATGAAGCCTTAAATCACAGGAGAAATCTGTTTTCTACCCTCGGCACCTTTCTTGGCACTGCGTCAACCCAAAATAATAGCAATTAATTAAGCAGGAAGGACAGAATGAGGCAGAACTCAACAGGAAATCCAAAGCTTTCAAATGCCCTTCTTTCTGTTGTTGTCTTTTCAGTGCAACCTTGTCCTTTGTGTAATCTTCTAGCTGTTTTGCAGCATCACTGTCTTGAAATAGCTTTTCAAAAAACCCAACTAATCAAAAAACCAAAACAAACAAAAAGCCCCACAAACTGAAACCAACCAACAAACAGTATACAAGATTCAGGCACAGAAAATTACAAAATTATTTTGCTTTCAAAGACTGGCAAACAGGGAAGGTAAAACCTCAGATTCTATTTTCAAAGGCTAAGAACAAGCTGATAAAAGTTAAGCATAAGGGAACAGTGAAAAAAACTCCACTGTCTTGTACTACATCCACAGTCAATTTTGTGTAATGAACACCTATAGACGAGGTTTCAAATCACGAAGATCATTTCACAATGAGACATGAATAACAACATGGGAATAACTCAACCAAGATTTTCAGTGATTCAATTGCTACAAGAGTCAGATCAGACAGCAGAAAGCACAGCTAACCTAAGCTAAGCTAAAAATCAGCTAAGCCTCTTTCACCACGTGATTTCCACAGGCAGAACCTTACCAAGGCTGGAAGAACAAAGATTGTCACCGTATCTGTAGGAAAGGACGAAAAAGAATAAAAAAAATTTAAAACCAATTAAAAAGCTACTAAATACGCTATGAGCTACAAGGGCCTCAAATGAAAACATGATGAACACTTGCAACTATGCTGTTATTTATCTACCTGTGTCACACTAGTCTACATGACACGGAAGACTTCTTTCCCATTTTACACCCTCAAGGATACAGATTCTTGCTAAGACCTCATCTTCAACTTTCTATAAGGCCATACCTGAAGTCCCAGGAATGAAATCTCCCACTGCAGTAACTCACAGAACCACAGCAAAAATGTGTTTGTTCCTCTGCATCAGCCTCACTACAAGTTCCCAACACATAGGTGGGCACTGGAAAAATTCACCTCTCCAGCTTAATCCATCTTGGCCACTAACTGCAAAAGCAAAAAGCCAAGTCTCGAGAATTACAACTTGAAGTATTTAATCAGTTAAAGAGTATTCTAGGATAGCTGCACAAAACCTGTACTGATACACAGTAATTACAGTTCTTGGATTTTTACAAGGCGTCAGTTTCTTTTTCTCTTTTTTTTTTCTTTTTTTGTAACACAGAATGTGAGAGAATAAATTGTTGCTTAAAGCAGAGAAGGACAAAGGTGGGCTGTTACAGCTCTCCAGACCAGACTGGGAAAGAGGATGAAAGATCAGAGCAGTATGTAAAAAGTGAACAGGAAACTTTTTTCATACGATACAAGGGCAAAAATAGTTAATAACCAATTACTTGGGAGAAAAAACTGCTACTATGTCTGGCAGGAAAAAAAAAAAAATATATAAAAGCATCTGGTAAGTAAGAAAAAATAGGTTTTTTGAGAGACAAAATTAAAGAAATTATGAGAAGGTAACTACAAGTGCTAGAAGTATCTTGGAAAAAAAGAGTGAAATTGCTATGCAGCTCTCAAAAATTTCAATAAAACTCCAAACAAATTTTATGACTGTTGTCCCTCATTTCAGACCTCCTATGGCACTCACAACACATTTATTTTAAAATGTAGATATTTAAAACACGTTGTCACTTTCAGATTCATTTTCAAAATACTCTTCTTAAGAAAAAATAATTCAAACCTGCCACTTCCCAAAAGATATGGCAAAAAGTTACTGAACTATTCAGGATCCCAAAACTAAGATGGAAAGATAACTGGTACAACCCCTGACGAAACAGACATAGGTGAGCAATTTGTTGTCTGTCTCTGGATGCTAATGAGGAGATTTAATTTCCTTCTATCAAGGAAGGAATTTCCTTCCATCTTTTGCCTGCAGCAACAGCATAGCCCACCTAAGTTTGCAGACTTACTAGGACTAAACATCTCAAGTAGCTCTCTCATCCTAAACATAGGTGAAGGCAGATGCTCAGTGTTACAGAACATTAACTGAGAATAACCAAAAACTATCGATTTCTAAATCAACTCACATCTATTTAAAGCAACACTAGAAAATGAATGGCAGTGTACTGAAACACTGAAAAGGGATTTCAAAAGGAAAACAAAAGCTTTACCAACATTTTTTTAATTAGAAGCACAGATACACTTACCTTCTTGGAACAGGCATTTTCTGTTCTCAAGGGCATCAAGAGGAAAATTTCACTTGGAAAAATTAAGTCCTAAGTTAATAATTGGTCCAGTTTTTCAGATTTCAGTCCCCCTGGCTGCCACAAGAAGTATTATCTTAATAATGCCCTGTCCAATGCTTTACAATGCCAAAACAACTTCAGAGTATTTTTCACTCCTAAATGGTTCATCATACTACAGGTGACATAAGAAAATCACAAACTTCATACATGAAAACAATTCATTCTCTTCAGCAGAAGCCAAAGGTAAGTGCAGGGAAGTTGAACAGAACAGCATTTAGACTTCAAATTAGGAGGACAGAGAACACAGATTACAGGAGAAAAAAAGTGATCTTTTAAGTCAACTATTTAATAGGAAAGGCAGATGACAACAGAAAATCTTAAAGTCTTCTTTGCTCAAGTCTGTATGAAAAAATTAATTAGGAAAAATATTTATGGCAATTAATTTTTAGCAAAGAGTCAGAAGCATAAGCTAGGAAATAAAAATACTAGTTAAATATTTATGCAAGTTCAATGCATTCAAGTCACCAGAATATGACAAAACTGATCCAAATTTCCAGGAAGAACTAGCCAAAGCAATTAATGAACCATGAGAAATAACTGCAGAGATCTTTTGTAGAAAGATGAGCTCACAGGAGACTGAAGTCAGACAAAAGAAGGACCTTAGATGTTTTTGCTCAAACACCCAAAGGTTTCACAATAAAGGTGAGCTATTAAAGCCACTGTTACCTCCTGCCATGGTTCATCCTGTTCCCTCCCATACTGACAACCTGGTTCTGGAGCTTGTTTGACCTCTTAGTGAGCCAGTTTTACTGAATCACCTTTCGCTTCAGTTCCCTAGATGAACTAGCTGCTCATCAAGGGGCCAGACAAGCACAAAGGATATCATCAGCAATTAACCCTTCCAGCAGCAGCCAGTTATTACATCCACTCAGTCACAACATGAAGTCCTGCACTAGTTTTGAGAGGCAGACAGAAAGGCAGAACAAGCAATCAAACACCGCTATCTTCATTGCAGCATTTAGGAGGGCAAGCATTTTTCCCTGTTCCTAAAGCACCCTTAACTTGCTGGGCAATTCTGTAACACAAAGATTTGAAAATATGCTTTGGCTGCAGTAACTCCATAAGCCAGCAGGAAGTTTGAAATCCCATACTGGAAGACCAGGTGCCTTGCTTCTCGGGAAGGCCTAGCCAAAACTTAATCACAGGCTGTACGTAGACCAGAGTCTGTTATTTGAGTAGTCCCAATCTTGAAGCTATAAGAACTAACAATTGGCCAGCACAGATACAACTTCCTTTTGATAAGATAACCAAACTACTTTAAGGGAAAATGATACATGTTACAGATCATGATTTCTCTAAGGTTTTTGGTATTGTTTTGCCTTACAGCAAAGTAACCGAGTCTGCAGGAAATTGCAGGGTAACTCAAGCACTTGCAAACAGAGCTCTCAAGCCCAGGCTACCAGTTTCCAACCAAACCAAAATGGGATTTTCATTATCAGCTGAAATCTGTGTTGCTTCGTTCGTGACAGATACGATACTTTCAGACATAGCTAGGAAGGCTGGTATTACACAAGTGGCACATTCTAGAGTGCAGAAAACACAAGACCATAATGCAATAACAGAAACTGCCCCACTGGACATCAGCACGCTGACGTGGACAAGTGCATACTGCTGCATACAGAATAGGAGTCTAATGACAAAAATGAAAGGGAATTTGAGCATCAGTCCTCAGAGAAGCATGGGATTAGAGAAGCACAAAGCAAGTATGCTGCTGTTAAAAAAAGAACTGCAGAACAACAAATCTGCTCTACTCGACACCAGCAATGTCCTGTTCTGCACAAGATTCCAGGAAAACACAGACATAGTTAGGCTGAGGTTTCACAGTAGCTTCAGTCAATCTAGTTGCTGGTTGTCACAGTCCTACTTTCTGCCTCCCACTGGCTTCAGTACCGATCTGACCGATGCTTGCTGGCAGCACTACATCAAGAGAAAACCTACCCTGCTTCAGAAAAAAAAATGTTTTCTGCCAGATTGGAGCCTTTGTGAGTCACCTCAAGCACTGATGGGAGCAAGAAAGGCAGGCAGTGATAACAGCAGCAGTCAGAGAGCTTAAACTGTTGGAGAATGGCAGCTTAGTTCTGACAAGAGCAACAAGTATGCTGAGGTACAGCAAGCCCGACCCATGTGATGAAGTAGAATGAATCAGTTTGCTTAAGCTAGAGAACGGATAACTAAGATGGAGGACATGGCTACAACTGCAATTCGGCACAAGATCTTTCTGAAAACGAAGAACAGTTCACTAGAGATGGGAAAACAGAATCTGCTCTATTTGTAGCAAAGATGACGTCAGGCATTAGGATAAGCATTTTAGTATAAAAACTGTCTGCTGTAACACTCCACTACCTACAGGGGGAACTTCCTCAGAGTACTTAATGAATTTTCTTATCATCAGAATAGGAGATAGATTTGATAACAGGGTGGATTACCTTATTAAATATAATTCTAATTACTTGTATTATGCAAGTCCAGGGCAGTGCATACAAGATGGGTAAAAATGTCATTTAAGAATGCAGCAAAGGTACAGTGAGATCTTTGCTAGCAACAGCTAAAAAAGTAGGATAACCTTCCTAAAGCACCAAACAGCTTAAATGTCCAATTTACTGTTCTCTCTTACACAAAGTCCTGGAAGAACAAAATAAACTGTGTATCTCTGTCCTAAAGGATTAATTAAGTGCCTATGTTTTAAATACATCAGGAACATCATAACTGCTCTCCTGAGAAGCAAAGCAAGAATGAACTCATTTCACCTTCCCTAACATTTGTTGGAATTTACTGAATTCAGACATTAGCAGCAACTATATTACACTGTACAGGGAACCTGATGAACACAGGTAACATGCAATTTACAAAATTAAAGAACCCTCAAGGTCAAACTAAACTTATAAAGAGCATGGCTTTGGAGATTACAATTGCCATGTAAACAGAACTACAGACTTACATAATTGCAGCACCTCAATCACACAAGGAGGAAATTCAAAAACTATCTCAAGTTCTTCTGGTGCAAAGCATTAGCATTATAAACCTCACAGGAAAGGCACAGACCCCAAGTTCTGAAACAGGGTTAAAAGTTGTAAAGCTGAGCACTTCTTGAAAAAAGGGACATTCCTTCATGCTAAAGGAAAAAGGGAGCAAAAGGAAAAAGGGAGCAAAAGGAAAAAGGGAGCAAAAGGAAAAAGGGAGCAAGCAAATTCCTGTATAAAAACTGTTAGAAAATGAAAGGTTATGAATATCACAAACTGGAGAGTTTTAATTAAAGTTTGCAATACTTAGAAAAACTGGTAATTGCTCCCCAGCAAGTTTTATCAGGCATGGTAAATTTGGTCAAAACTTTGTGGGAGGCTCAATAAAAGTAGCAAAAGTGCCGCTCTGGGAACAAAACCCAAATGACTACAAGATCTGGAGGTATAAATGAAACCTGTTCAGCTGCTGTCAACAATGAAACAGCTACCAGGAGTCAGTATTTGTTTACATTCAAATAAAATCCATTCTGTTACGATATCACAAAATTTTCTGCTGCTGCAGATTAAGTTGATTGCAAATGTACTCTCAGATAAAAAGCAAAGTGAAAGAAACTACACAGGGTCTCCCATTCTACTTCCCCCAGACCCTGGGCTCATGCTGCCCAGTTAACAAATCCCGCAAAAAAAAACCAGCTCAAGGTTTTCCTTAACTTATTAGCAAAAGCAAGAGGCACATGAAAGGATCTGGTGAATCCCAGAGCAGTGCAAGGTGGCGTGTGGAAATCGCGAAGGAAGCATGAACTCCCCCACGCTGCTGGCAGCAGCAAGCTATTATAACTGCCTCTCATGTAACTTCACCCTTCTTTTAAATGTCTGTAGCCAATCTGGTTCTCCAAACAGCCATTTATGCCCGGAGATGGGAGGCACAACTTCTCTTGCAGGAGTGCTGGCTGTGAAATATTTGCCCAAAACCCTCCCACAACACTCAAAGCTGCCGCAGGGAAGTTTGCCTTTCAGGTGACACACCAGCCTTGATTACTTAACAACCCTGATGCAAGAATAAAAATTACTTTTGCGCACGAGCAAAATTACATATATTTGAAATAAAAGAACATACCTAGGGTACCTTTACGCCAATCGCCAGCTGGACGCCGCGCACAGAACCGCAAGCGCGGTCCCCGGCAGCCCGTGAGGGGCAGCGCGCCCCGCGCCCGTGCCCTGCCCGGCTGCCAGAGCAGCACGGCCG